CCCTGCGCCATGACTCGCGCCAGCGCGTGCGGGAGCTCCTGGCTGAGCGTTGAGTCCAGGCGAGTTGCGCTGGCCACGATCGCTACGCCGAGCCGAGCTGACGCGCCGAGGCGCCGGCCAGTCGCAGCCGTGAGGCATGCCACAGCAGCAGAGGCATCTGCCACCCATTGGGCGGGCAGACAGAAGGCCAGGGCAGCACTGGCAAGTGCAACGCGCCTCATGTCGGAGAGCGACCGTGCCTCGTTCGCCGCTTATGATGTAGAGTTTGTTGTAGAGATTTCACGTTGTAGAGCGCCTCTACATCGCTCTACAACGCAGGCGCCTCGTCACGCGGCGGATGTAGAGCTCTACAGCTCTACAGCGCTCTACATCTCTACAGCTCTACAGTGCTCTACACTCTACATCCTCTACACCCTCCCTCAGTGACAGGGTTTGCGATGATGATTTTGCTATTTGCTCGTGTGGGGGTATATTGCAGATTTGTCAATGGTACCGCGTCTGCGACGCGGGCGCCTTGCGAGCAGAGCCCTTAGGACACCCTTTATATCTTGCGCGGTCAATACATCCCACGGACTGGCGCGCACTGTGTACACACTGGCAGTAACACACCACGGCTGAAAAGAAATCCTCCAGTATGTCTCGCCGTCTCCGGGGCACGCTATCCTGTGCAGTCAGGGCAAGTGGGGGCTTTAGGTGTATTGTTGGCAAAACAAGACACAGAGCTCACACAGAATCACAGCGGGAGGAAAGCGGCGAGTCGCAATTCCTGGGGTCCTTGTAAACAAGACACAGAGCTCACACAGAATCACAGCGGGAGGAAAGCGGCGAGTCGCAATTCCTGGGGTCCTTGTGGCGGGCCACCCTGTCCAGTCTCCAGAGAGGCATGAGTGCCAAGGGGGCGGGGGCACAGACGCACAGTCCCTTTGACGTATGTATCTCCGGGTTCTGTCTCTAGTCTCGGACCGAGGGGGGGCTTGAAGTTAAGTAAGAAATTTTAATCTACAAATGCCAGTGGCCAGCCAGCGGCTGCCAGCGCTGCAGGCGCTACGTTCATTGACAGTGGTAAAGCGTTAAAACGCGTCAGCAGTGGTCCTCCTTTTCGGGAAAGCTCTAGAGGAGAGAGAGTATGAAAGTAAGGGCTACATACACACACTGAAAACGGAAGCGCCCGAGCCGGCGATTCCGAGTGTCTCTCCAGTTCCGGTCCCATGCGAGCCTGGTCGACCGCAGTGTTCTTCGCCCTGGTGCGTGCACTGGCACTGACACACACGATATCCGCCGCACACATGCGCGCCGCCGATGCCAGCACTCTCACCCCGGCGCTGCCACTTGCATGTTCCAGGCAGCGACAACGCACAGCGCGCCAGTTGCCACAAACGGCAGGGCCCTCTCTACGAACGACCCGGTGAAGAGCGCCTACGGCGGCGACGGCGGCGACGCGTTTGACGACTACAATACGCTCGGGCCTTCATCCTTGGGTGTGTGTGTCCTCGATTCAAGTGTGGAGCGGGAACGCGATTGACCGGCTCGTGATCACCTACAAGGACGGCCACGAAGTCACGCACGGCGATAACAGCGGCGGGAGCGCCAGTGAGACCTTCAACGTTGGTTCAAGCTACATTACCAAGGTGTCGATTCGATCGGGGAACGTGGTTGATCAGCTCCAGTTCGAGCTCGCTGATGGAAGAAAGTCGGCAGTCTACGGAGGCAATGGAGGCGATGCGCACTCTTGCCAGGCTCCCGAGGGTACCGCAATCGTTTCTTTCTTCGGAGGTGCCGGGAACTCTCTCGATCAAATTGGGTGCTATACGATTCCGACGTGCAGCGACATTGGTTCGGTCACCGGAAAATGGGTTGCAGACGTCTACACGGACGGTGATGCAACCATTGAGCAAATGTTCGGCACCGCGTCGTCTACC